TTTTCGTATAAGGTCACATTTGTGCATTCCAGAGATTGGGGCCTGATGTCTGTGGGGGCCGGTATTCAGCATACCACAGTGCTTCACAAGTTGTGCTTCCCATGTTACTGTCGACACAATTTGACTAAGCTTTTTGTCACTAGATAGCAAGGTTCTCCTTTCCTTCAGTTTTCAATAGCACGTTCCTCATTCATTCCTCAGCAGCAGGGCCTTTCATGTTCATATTTCCACCAGCAGTGTGTTTGTGCTGTTGCAGGTGCCAAAATTTGTATTGTTTCCTATTAATGCCATAGCAAATTGTAACAAACTTATTGCCTTAAAACACAACAAATATATTGTCCTCCAATTCTGGATGTCAGGAGTCTAAAAATAATCACAGGAGGATAAAATCAAGGTGCTGACAGGACTGCATTCCTTCTGAAGCTCTAGAGGATAAAGTCTTCCTTGCCCCTTCCAGTTTCTAGAGGACACCTGCATTCCTGGGCTCTGGGCTACATCATTCTGACCTCTGCTTCCATCGTCACATCAGAGAAGTCTCTGAATCTGACTCTTACCTCCCTCCTTGAAATGATACTGGGCCCACAGGGATGACCTAGGATAACCTCTCTGTCCCAAGAGCCTTGAGTTAATCACATCTGCAAAGTCCTTTTGCCATGTAAGGGAACATACTCTCAGGTTTGAGATTTTGTGCATTTGGATATGGGCACATTTGCAGTGCCATTATTTTGCCTACCACCATCACACTTCGGCTGCGATAATGCAGTATTTCCATGCAAATGAAGGAGGCTCAAATCTGAAGAGGATATTGAGTAGAAATCTGGAGACTTTCTTTAATCACCACACTATCATTGAACTTCTGGTTTTGGCCAAAGCCACTTCACCTTCTTTTCATACCTAACAATTTTTTTCAGAGAATAAAAGACACCTTAATCCTTCCTCTTCAAATGGGAAGACTGGATCAGAGAAGATAGGCAGTTGTATGAAGGCCACACAGTTAGCTAACGTCAGTGCCACTCTAGAAAGTGGTTGTTTTAGCCATCTTAAATCACGCTGCACCTGTGAGCAGACCCTGGGCAAGCAAAGAGCTCTCTAGTGAGTTTAGTATCCTAATCCCCCAATTAGGATGATACTATCCAAGTTGAAGCAATTATCTTAAATTAAAAAATGCCTTTTCCTTACCCTAACATGAAGATGTTGTTCAGAAATGGGACGTTGTGTTCCAATAAGTTAATGCCTCAGTGTGTCTTAACAGAAATTGGATGTAAAAACAGAAATTATAACAGATACCGAAATCCTGGATCTAGCAGTAATTCAGTGAACTTTTTCCATAAGTTTCTTAACCTTTTAGACTTCATTTTCTCTATCTAAAAAGTGAAGGTTTTGTGTAGAAGACGTAGCTGACCCTTCTGAGCTGTGGCAGTCAACCAGTTTACAGAAAGCTTTGATCTCAGTTCTGTGTGGAGGCGACTGGTTACACATCAAGGCATGCTACACTTCAAGGTCCCTGTGAATAGAAGGTTCCCTCTTATCTAGATGTATGTTTTGAGTATTATAAAAGCATAGGCCGTTTTTGAAATGTTTTCAGGGATCAAAATTTTAGATTTCCATTACTAAGGCTGAAACATTTGCTGTTAGGGGATGTATCTGAATAATGCATTCATTTGTTAGTGAAGAGACACTGTCTTAGATGAAACATGTTTCTGAGATTGGAGTTTTCTAATTTTAAGGAGCTCTGTAAAATTGGAGGAACAATGCATGAGCCTCTAGTGATAGTACTTATCGAGATGGTAACTATATAAATACTGTCTTTTCAACCTTTTTCACTAAAATTATTAAAATCGGGCTAAATTCTGTCCACTTATCTCTGCACAACCTCCTCCCCCTACCCATGCTGCACATACATACACACACGTGTGCACAATGTGCTGAAAACCGACTCCTTGCCAGAATCCATCTTTAAATACTGTCAGGGGTTGGTCAGCTTTCGGGGCCATACAAGCAGAAGGAAGCCCCTCCGGGTAGAAAGGGAGACTCTGGCCCCTTTTATAAACACATGGCTGTGGCCAGGAAGTGAGGAGCAATAAGCCAAGAACCGCGGAGGCCGAACAGGGGTGACCAGGTTGCTCTGGGAGGTCTGCTCTGTGAGGAAGGGCGGCAGCAGAAACTTCGGGCCGGGCGCCCACGGTGGCCA